TATCTTGGCTTTCGACATGCCTTCCTCATTACGCTTAATTATTTCTAGATTTTGATTTAAAGGGAGAGACGTATGACTCTTCCTTTCACTTGAACACTTAGAAGGCATTGTAGGATTATTAATTAGCCTAATTTCAATATTCTTGTGTCTCTCTCAGGGAACGGGGGCTTGAGGCCAGGGAGAGAGATGGGAGAACGGCTGGTTGGAGCAGTCAGAACACACACAGTTATCAATTAAGTTTGATGTCTCATACGGGTAGTTTGTGCCACCATAAAACAATTACAATAGTAACATCAAAGATCACTGATCACAGATCATTGTAACAGGTATAACAATGATGAAAACATTTGAAATATTGTGAGAATTACCAAAATATGGCACAGAAGTGACCACCCGCTGTTGGAAAAGTGGCACCAATGGGCTTGCTGGACACATGGTTGCCACAAAACTTTGATTTGTAAAAAACACAATATCTGCAAAGTGCAATAAAGTGAGGTCTGTCTATACTAGCTCCAAACTGCAAATGAACTATTTTCAAAGATACGGTTTACAGAGGCCTTCAAGTCCTGACTGGGTCTTGGGCAAACTACTTCCGGCCAGCAGAGCAGGGGTTGAGTGCAGCTGTGCAGGTTTAATGTACTACGTGGCAATCTTGACTTTTTTGTTTTGCATGTTGTAACTGCATTTTGTAGCTTTTTATTTCGCATTTTGTAAGTGAGGTTCGATGGGCCAATGGAACATGACCCAGGGCAGCTTTGAGCTTTGGCTCATGCTTCCCTGGATGGGTTCTGGTGGGAGTAGGGTATAGACAGAGACAGAGACAAAAGTGACAGTGTTTTGTCCTTTTTTTTTTGAACAAGAGACCCCACATTTACATCTTGCACTGGACACCCACAAATTTTCTGCACAGTACTGTGTGCAAGCTCAGGGTTCCTCAGCTGGGGGAACCCAGAACGTCCTTGGTGATCACTAGCCCAGGTACATTCTAGGGTGCTGAGTGGGGGGCTAAGAGCAAATACGTGGGAACCTGGTCACAGATGGGTCCAAGTCCAGCCTCTGCCTGCTTTTGGCTTTACGACCTTTGGAAAGCAGGTTCCCTATCTGGGTCTCGATGGTCTCGGCTGTAAAATAGGGAGAGGAATTCTCAGTGTCTGTATTTAAGAGCTTAGCTCATGATGAACAGGTCCTGAATTCAGAGCTGTCAGAAGGGAGGTAGGTCCTTTCCTTCCCTGTTCTTTTCTTTCCTTCTCTTCCTTTTCCTCTGATGGAAAAGGAAAGGAGCTTGACCAAGGTCAAAGAAGAAGGTGTTGGAAATGCTGAGCTGCCAGTGCCTGTCCTGGGGACTTTTTTTTTTTTTTTTTAAAGCTTTGTTCAGATGCAATTTACACACCATAAAGCTCACCTGTTTCGAGTGTACAATGCAATGGTGTTTAGTATATTCGGAGGATTGTGTAACATTCACTGCACTCTAGAACATTTTTACTGCCACTCCCCCAAAAGAAAGGCTGTACCCACTAAGAGTCACTCCCCATGTTCCCCCTGTGGCCCCAGGCCCTGGCACACGCTGACACGTTCCAGTCTGCACGGATTTGTCCGTGGGTGCGGACACGTCACACACACGAGATCCTACAGCAAGTGGTTCTTGGTGACTGGCGTCTTGCACCAGGCATGATGACTTCAAGGGCCGTCCATGCTGTAGCATATATCGGTGCTTCATTCTTTTTTATTGCTGAATAATGTCGCATTGTAGGGACGTGCCACATTTTATTTTTCCGTTCATCTGCTGACGGCCGTGTGGGTCGCGCCACTCTCTGGCTATCAGGAACAGTGTTGCTGGGAACACTCGTGTGCAACTTTTCTCGTGGAGGTTTGTTTTTGTTGCTCTTGGGTGTGTACCCGGGAGTGGAATTGCTGGATCGGGGTAACTCGATGTCGTTGAGGAACTGCCCGAGCGTCTCCCAACAGCGTGCTAGGGTTCCAACCCCCTCATCCTCGCGACACTTGCTGTTAGCTGTCTTTCGATTACAGCCTTCTTGGTGGCTCTGAAGGCTGTCGCTGCCTCCCTTTTCTGCCTTCCCTGTTCAGGTACCCCAGCTCTCTCGTCCAAGGGGGGACGACCGCCTCACCAGCACACGGACACGCTCACGCCACGCTCTCGCACACACTCGCAAATACCACGCGCGCCAGCACGCTCCCGCAAACTCACAAACTCACGACGCTTGCTCACGAGATCACACTCCCCGCCCTCCCGCACTCACCTGTCACACTCACACTGTCGCCCTCACCCCCACGGCACTCTCATGGTCTCACACTCTCACGTTCACCCCCACGACTCTGCATTCGTGCACGTTCGGGCACACTCACTCACCCCGAGCCCCCTCTCCCGCCCGCCTGCCCCACAGGAGCACAGTTGGGCTCCAGTTGCGGCCTGGCCCCCGGCCCGCTTGTGGGCTCTGCAGGGACAGGTCTGCCCTGAGCCCCCACTGCCCCTCTCAGCAGTGGGGAGAGTCCTGGGGACCCCTCAGCGTGCTCTGGGGATGGTCGTGAGCAGACGCAGCCTGCAAGCTGCTGGGTCAGCGTCCAGCGTCACCGTTAGGGCCAAGCACTGCTTAATTAGTGCTGTCCCCACTGCCAGGGCCAGGCCCTTCCCGGGCATCTTCTGTCCTCCGCCCCTGGGGCTCCGCCTCCTGGGTCATTATCACCTTTCGGTTAATCCTCAGCTGCTGCCACCCATCAACACCTGTGCCGCCCCCAGCCCCTGCGGGGTCTCCACCCCCACCCAGCACCCGCATCCCGGCCACCTCTGGCTGTGGGGACACATTCTTGGCCTGACTGCTCAGGCTGTTTCAGATTCACGAGGTGGGGGAGGTCTTGACACGTGCTCCCCACACCGCCCCGTCCTGTTCCCTCCGGCAGCCCTCTACTCCGGCAGGCTCACACGGTCGTGCAGGACGGGGGCTCGTGTCCCCAGCTCTCTGGTTTGAACCTAGATCCAGAGGGTCCTTGGGGCCACTCCACACGGGCACAAGCGCTGCCACCGTAGCCCCTCCCCAGGCAACACCTCGGTGGACACAGCAGGGGCCCTGGGGGGGCCGGGGGGCCGCAGGGCGCGTGACACATGATCCAGCCCTGAGTGGTAGCCGTGCTCCGGGCCGGCCGCCAAGGAGGACTGGGAGAGGAAGAGAGAGTGTCTGCAAACAAGCCGGCTGCCAAGAAGGGGCCGGGTGATAGGAGAAGGTGCGAAGGGGAGGGGGCCAGGTGGCCACGGCCTGCGACGCCTGCATGACCTTCCGTACCCTGTGCGCAGCCACACACAGATCCGATGTCCACATGCAGAGCGAGCCGCATTCTAACCCTCACCCCCCACCCCACCTACACACAGTGAGGTCGGCACACACGGGTCAGATGCTCGAGGACACACAACACACACAAAGTCACACTCTCACTCACGTGTAGTGAGGTATGTTCCAGCCCCATTCTCTCTCTCCCGCGCGCGCACACACACAAGCACACACACGCACGTGTACGTAGTGTTCCTTGGTAGAATCTTTGAGGACTGTATTTTTCATTACAAAGTGTGCTGCACAAACTTTGGTTTGGTGAAGAAGGGTTCTTAGCAGTAAACAGCTCACTCCCTGCAGGATTGGCTCCAACAGATGGACGGACAGACAGCAGGAGCCTCCCCCAGGACTGGCACAGTCAGACACGCAGCCTCTCTCCTCTCTCTGTCTCTGTGTGTGTGTGTCTCTAGTGTGTGCGTGTCTCTCTGTCTCTGTCTCCCCCCAGCCCGCACTCTCTCCCTCTCTGTTTCTCTCTCTCCCCTCTGCAACACGCTCTCCAGCGCACACACGTGCACGCTCTCCTCTGTCCCAGGCTGACACACTCACAGCATCACTGGGATCTAAGTGCCAGATGGACTTTATTTGCAGAGAGTGGCTGGGGTGGGAGAAGGCGAAGCCCACCACGGAGAGGGCAGTGCCCCCGGCGAATGGTCGGCAGGATTCAGGAGGGAGGAAAACCCAGGAAAGGGCAGGAGAGAGACGAAGGCAGAAGGACAGGGACGAAGAGACAGGCCCGTGGAAGGGAGGCTGCACCAAACCACACGTTTACTGGCCTCCTACGATGACGGGCCAGCAGTATGCGGGGCCAGCAGCGAACAGGACAGGCAAAGACTCCTGCCCCCCAGGAGCTCACAAAATAACCCCAGTAAATAAATCACATGGTTAGAAGAGGATGCACAGTCAGGCACAGTGGTTCACACCTGTAATCCTGGCGCTCTGGGAGGCTGAAGCGGGAGGATTGCTTGAGGTCAGGAGTTTGAGACCAGCCTGAGCAAGAGTGAGACCCCATCTCTACTAAAAATAGAAAAAAGTAGCTGGGCATGGTGGCACGCTCCTGTAGTCCCAGCTACTCTGGAGGCTGAGGCAGGAGGATTGCTTGAGCCCAGGAGCTTGAGGTTGCAGTGAGTTATAATGATGCCACTGC